GGGACAATACAACAAAAATCCAGTCTTTCCAGTATCTAGTGGTCTAGCAACATAATTTTCACACTAACCTGATGACCACCAGACATGACTCCATAAATGCATCCCTAGCCGCCCTCTCGACACAAATAACCGCAGCCGATGCATCCATTACCACCCTTTCCACCCAAGTCACAAACATCGTCAATTCCATTGCCTCCTTACCCACTACCATCATATCCAATATAGCACAAACTGCCCCCTCCCTCTGCAGCACCCACCCCCGATGAAGCCTTCACTGCATTTGCTGTAGAAGTACGAACCATCATATCCTCCATCACCATACCACCCACTACCTCCACCTCCACCCCCAAGACGTGGTCACACGGGCTGACCTCCGCTCTCTAACCAAGGCATTGATCTTAAACTTCAACGAGATCAGTGTCAAGTTTGCATCAAGAGCAGCCAAGCCCTCGAATGCCCTCAAGAAAAGTCTTATTCAATAGCAAGAGCGCACCACCTCTCTCTTCCACACAATGGAGAGAACGCAAAGGAGAGAAACAGTCATGAAGTATGTTGAGTCGCTAAGGCTCAAAAAGAAGAAGAGGAGTCGTGCCTCATGCTCCACCAGTCGCGCTCTTAAAAGGCCATGACATGACGACCCAGACCAAGATGATCATGGTCTTGGTCTTCATGAGGGGGAGAATCCTTCCATTACCCCGATGGAAACAGAAACACCACCACCTCCATAAGTCCAACAACCAACCACCCAACCAACCGATGGAACCGAGGCGAGGGAACCAGAGGCTTAGCCCTCTGATAATGTACATAATATACAAGTTCCCTATGTAAATATTGATGCATCTCTTCAACCAACTGTAAGCACTGTAAATCCACCACCACTAGCCAATGAGTCCTCACCAATTTTGGTGCGTTCTTCATCACCCTCTGATCAACCACCCTCTACCTCACCAGAACCAGCCATTCCCTTTACCCCATCACCAACACCACCTTCATCACCAAAGCAACCAGAACCCACTCCGATACAACCAGAACCTACAAACCCTCAACCATACACTACATCCCAACCAGAACCATAAACATCCTAACCAGAACCACCCCTTTGCCAAACAAAACCACCCATCAGCCAACCTACCCAAACAGTGCTTACAGATATACCCTCATCCTCAAGGCAACCTCCATCCATGGATCGAGTGTAGGAAATCATAACACAGATGGAGACCCTAATGAGACGTTCACCGGTGCCACCAAGAGAACCTGTCATGATGGAGAATATCCATCAATACCTCTATCATGATCGTGATGAGCAAATTGTTCTCAATTCTCCCAACCTATCACCAGAATCGATGGACCTACTCCGACACATATTCGTGAGACAGACGACACAACCACCACAAGTTGTCTTCTCAAATGATGGAATCAAAATGAGCCATGATATCAAGGTACGAACATTCACAAACAGAGCCATCAAGTACATCGAGTACACCGTGGAATGCGCACATAGGATGATATGCGTCTTCAACGACAATGATATCATTAATCTTAATCCATGGGACTTGATTGACTTGTATGGCCACACAACTCAGCGTCAGGATCAAGGGATGCGGTACGGGATGGCACATCGGGTGATCGTATAGGCAATGGGGACACTTGTAAAGTTCAGAGCAAAGAATGACTTCCAAATAGCTCTAGAACCTGACATCGATAGACTATCCTGCAAGGCTCCAAATGAAGATTTCCCTGGACTGCAAGAGATGCACTCTGCTTTAGTCTTAACTTAACCAGAACTTGGCTTGGTTTTCAAGAACGAGTACAAGGCAAAGAAATTTTTCAGACAAACTGAGGCCTTCAAGTATTCAACAGATACACTTGAATGGTTTCAAAAGGTCGTACGCGAAAGATTGGGCAGAGAGCATATGCCAAGGAATGAGGGACAAAAGTTGATTCATGTGATCTCCACAGTCATTCGTTATAGAGGACTGATGATGTGCTTCTGGATAATCTACAATGGAGACCATGATTAAGATGTAAAACTTTCTATCCTTATTTACTTCTGTATTGTACGAAACAATCCAATTTTCAGAAAATGAAAACTTTTGATAAAAGGATGTTTCTACTAGATTAGTCTTTGTTCATTACATTCATTTATGTTTCATAGACTAGTCATTGTTTATTTTTCATTACTTAGGGGGGGATTGTTAGACCCCATAATTCTTATTGAAAAAGTAATGAAAAATGTACAAGTATGGAAGTACAGAGGACCGATGAAAGAAGAGTTGGAAAAGACCTAAGTGCTCAAGGTGAACCAAAGATGCGATGAATGGTCCATAGGTGCGATGAACAATGCATCTTCATCACCCCTCTGGTTATTAGCACTTAGAAGATTCTACAAGAGTTCAATCAGAGACATCCAAGCAAAGAAGATACATAAAGACTCCTGGTTAAACATACTACCTAGAAGACAGCTGGAGATGACTCGTCAACAGCTGGAATCGGTTACAAAAGATAGATAGAGATAACTCCTAAATTCTAGATAGATATCTTTTCCCTAGAATATCTCATAGATATCTTTTCACTAGATTGTTATCTCTTAGACTAGATTGCTAGTATAAATAACTATCATATGTCTTGTAATTTATCACTTCCTTCTCGCCAAAGTTATCATAGTGAAATTCTTTAAAGCTTCATATTCTCCTGAATATTTTATAAGTTTTCACTATTCTTCATTCATACGATAGATTTAGGTTTCATAACATAAATCTTCGTGTTATATTGAGAGATCTGAGATCAACAGAGCTGGGATTCCCTATCGAAGTATAATAGGCGCATTATTATACTTAGCACAATACACTTGACCGTATATTGTCTTTCTTAGTGAACTTATTAGCTAGATTTAGCTCAGCGCCATGGGAACAGGTTTGAAAAAGGATCTTAGAGTGTCTAGGGTTGGGCCAGGAGGGTCTCAGATTTTGATAGGAAAAAAAAAAGATACAAAATCAATATCACTAAAAGAAAATGGGTATAAAAACTTATTAGATACCGCGGTCAATGGTATCTAATAAGTGTCATTGGAATAATATCAAATTAATCTTTTGAAACCATTGATGTATACTTATACTTTCCTTACAAAGAGAAAAATGGAACTGATAGGAACTTTAATATACCTACTTAGATAGTGAGTGTGAAAGTTACTTGCCCTTATAGAAAACCAACAAATAA